CACTTTCTTATAGTATACCGAGAACCAAAAAACATACAGCAGGGACAGTTTATACCACCTCCATGTAAAAGACTATGTAGATAACATGGCCTAAGAACACAGAAATTCATGGTACCTCAAAGTGGCCTATGTTTAAATCATGTGTCAGTTACTACCAGTTACTGGATGGCACAACTCTGGTGGCCCATGACATATGCTCACTGTGACAGTGGCATTCTGGAATTTGCTATCGCTGAGATTCACTGTCTCAAAGTATATGGTAGAGAATAACAGAAGGTTATCGGACATCAACCTCCACAGACCGCACATTACATGTACACGTGTACACACACACACACACACACACACACACACACACACACACACACACACACACACACACCTTGTCAAGATGAACTTAAATGGCTTTGAGAAATTACCCTGGCAGAGGCACTCACCAGACCAACTCCCCTAAATAAGCTTGTTTCTCCCACTCTGGGACTTAAACATACTCAGCCAGGCCTCACACTCCCTAGCTATCACAAGACTGTCTCAATCTCTCTCATTTTTGGACAAGGTCTCATGTAGCCCAGGCTGGTCTTTAACTATCAACTCTCTATGTAGTTGGTATTTATAACAAACTTCTAGTTTTATTGTTTATACCTCCTAAGTACTGAGATTATAGGCATATATCATCACATCGAGTTGTTTTTAATGGGATGCTAAAGAACCAAATCCAGGGCAATGTGCATAATAGATAAGCATGTTACTGAGCTATGCTATCCTCTAGGTTCTTCGTCCTTTGTTTTTGACACATAACCTTGGACACTCATCGAGCATTCTACCTCTCAGTTGTATTCCCAGCCTATTTTGAGTTTTTTATAATTAAAAATGCAGCTTCCATTGGCCAGGCACATGGCACACACACCTTTGACCCCAACACATGTCTAAAAAAGGAAGAAAATGGCTGGGGAGATGGCTCAATGGTTAAGAACACTGGTTCCAGCCGGGCGGTGGTGGCGCACGCCTTTAATCCCAGCACTTGGGAGGCAGAGGCAGGCGGATCTTTGTGAGTTCAAGGCCAGCCTGGTCTACAGAGCGAGATCCAGGAAAGGCGCAAAGCTACACAGAGAAACCCTGTCTCGAAAAACCAAAAAAAAAAAAAAAAAAACAACAAAAAACACTGGTTCCTCTTTCAGGGGACCCAGGTTCTAATCCCATCACCCATACAGTGGTTCACAACCATCTATAACTCCAGTTCCAGGGGGACCCAAAGCTTTCTTCCGGTGTGTGAGAACAGCAGGCATACAAGTGGTGCATAAACATATATGCAGGCAAAAAAAAAAAAAAATTCAGGACTGGGAGTGTAGCCTAGGGTGACTGAGACTATATGTGAAGCGAGAGTCTGGCTAATAATAATTAAAGGGTTAGACCTTCTGACTTAGCAACCTGTAAATGAAAAAAAAAAAAAAAAAGGCAGCGGATGGCACTCGAGTCGAGGCCCACCCAGCCTGTTATCCTCTGGAAGTATAGTAATCTTTTTTTTAGCTGGCGGTGGTGGCGCACACCTTTAGTTCCAACACTTGAGAGGCAGAGGCAGGGGATCTCTGTGAGTTCAAGGCCAGACTGTTCTACAAAGTGAGTTCCAGGACAGTCAGAGTTGTTATACAGAGAAACCCTGTCTCTTAAAAAGTAAACAAACAAACAAACAAACAAACCTAAAAGAACAAACTATGGGTTCAAACTCATAATCCCAGCAGTTAAAGGTGGAGGCAGGATTAGAAAATTCAAAGCTAGCGGGCAGTGGTGGTGCACACCTTTAATCTCAGCACTCGGGAGGCAGAGCCAGGCAGACAGATTTCTTTGAGTTCGAGGCCAGCCTGGTCTACAGAGTGAGATCCAGGACAGGCTCCAAAACACACAGAGAAACCCTGTCTGGGGGGGATGGGGGGGACGGGGATTCAAAGCTAAGCATGGCTATGGTGGCTCACACCTTTAATCCCAGTATTTAGGAGGTTGAGGCAGGATTTCGGAGAATTCTCGAGCTACAGAGCTAGTTCTAAGACAGCCAAGGTTACAGGAGAACATCTCAAAAACCAAAACACAGGTAGTTGGAATGGCTCAATAGGTAAAGGGACCTGTCAAGCCTGAGGACCTGGTCTACAAAGCAAGTTCCAGGACAAAGAGAGTTGTTACACAGAGAAACCTTTTCTTGAAAAAACAAATTTTTTTTTTCTATTTTGGTCTTAAGAAAGAATACTGAGATTTAGAGGCAATGAGAACTGTAAATATGCACTATTCTGGAAAGCACCCTTGAAAACTGTAAGAATGTGAAACATGCCAACCATTTGGCTCAATAATGTCATTTCTAGCAATTTATACTAAAATAAGTAACCAAAACCTGTGCAAAGATATTTACATAGCACGAGGAAGTAGTTCCTGAAGTTAAAATCACTTGATGTCTACTAATAGAATGATAATAAAAATGGCTGCCTAGAATCTGATTACTGATAGCTTTGTAACCACCCTCGTTCATTAAACATGAATAAATGTATTTAAATTCAGTACAGAAAAATGAGAGAGAGCGCAGAACACAGGGATTAATCTGCAGTCCTAGCATTTGAGGGAGCTGAGGCAGGAGCGCCAAAACTTCAAGTTCTGGGGTACAGTATGAGATGAGACAGGGGAAAAAAAAGAGAGAGAATAAAAAAAAATGTGGAGGTACTGGAAGACTGGTCAAGTTACTGAAGATGAAAACCAAAGCTGTCCTCCAGCCTCTACCTCCAGGCACAGGTTTAAGTGTAAAAATATTTAATAATGTCCACAGTATCTTAAGAAGAGCAGGTTAGGGGCTGGAGAGATGACTCAGAGGTTAAAAGAGCACTGGCTGCTCTTCCAGAGGTCCTGAGTTCAATTCCCAGCAACCACATGGTGGCTCACAACCATCTATAATGAGATCTAGTGCCCTCTTCTGGCTAGCAGGCATACATGCAGGCAGAACACTGTATACATGATAGATAAATAAATAAATAAGAGCAGGTTAGAGTGAGGTTTGTTTTGTTTAACTTCCTGAAACTCATGCTGTAGACCAGGCTGGCCTGGAACTCAAAGAGATCTGCCCCCCTCTGCCTCCAAAGGTGTGTGCCACCACCACTTGGCTAGAGTGGTTTTTAAATCTCTGTTGAGTTTATATAAGTTTGTGTGTGTAAACAAAAGATAACTCAGAAGGTTAGGTGCAGTACCATATCCTTGTACCCTTAGCACACTGAGGCAAGATGAACTGTATTTCAAGGCCACCTTGGCCAAGACAAAAGGAGAGAAAGGGTAAGAAACCTATCCAGAAGAATACAATGAAATTGGACACCTCACACCTTTTTGTTTGTTTGTTTGAGATGGAGTCTTATAGCCCAGGCTAGCTTTATACTTTGTAACCCAGGCTGGTTAAATTCAAAGCATGTTATCATCTGCAAAACAAAGCTACCAAGTAAATATTATGCTCTATGTCAGTGGTTATCAACCTGTGGCTCCTGATCCCTTTGGAGGTCAGATGATCCTTTCACAGGGGTCACCTAAGACCATCGAAAAACACAGATATTTACATCATGATTCAGAACAGTAGCAAAATTACAGTCATGAAGTAGCAACGAATATAAATTTTGGTTGGGGGATCACCACAACATAAGAAACTGTATTAGGCGGGCAGTGGTGGTGCACGCCTTAAATCCTAGCACTCGGGAGGCAGAGGCAGGTGGATCTCTGTGAGTTCGAGGCCAGCCTGGTCTCCAAAGCAAGTTCCAGGAAAGGCGCAAAGCTACAGAGAAGCCCTGTCTTGAAAAAAACCAAAAAAAAAAAAAAAAAAAAAAAAAAAAGAAAAGAAACTGTATTAAAGGGTCGAGCTTTAGGAAGGATGAGAACCACTGGCTGATCTAAACATTGGGAAGAATGGAATTTTAGAATTTGCAGATGATAGGCAACTAGCACTCTGGGTCTCTAAGAAAACATGAGACAGTTTGGTATGGTGGGAACTCCTATTAGTAATCCCAACACTAGGTAAGCAGGTGAATAGTGAGCTCTAAGCCAGCCAGTATGCCTTTAATACCAGCACTTGGGAACGTGGGAGACAGAAACAGGTGAATCTCTGAATTTCAGGCCAGCCTGGTCTAGAGATCGATCGAGTTCATGGACAGCCAGGACTACACAGAGATTCTGTCTTGGGAGGGAGGGGGAAGATATGAAATTGTCAAAGAATAAAATTTACAAAAAAATCTCAAAAGTTCACAAATACTTAACTCAGGAAGAAAAGGATGTTTCTACTGTACTATCAAAATTGACAGATACCATATTTTACCTGTAATGCAATGCATCGCTTTCTTATTTTGTCAAGAGATTTTGAAGCTAAAACACTATCAAAGAGGAATGTCTTATTAGATACAGGTGAATTTGTAAGTAAATATGAGGTGGTACCACTGAACCAAACGAATTTGTGTGTTCCAGAAATTTCTGACTAGCGTTATGGGGTGGGGGATGGCGGCTTGTGCATCAGACTTGCAAACGTAGACAAAAACTCAATTCCTGACGTTAACAACTCAGGTCACTGTTGTTGCTTCCAGACTCGATCCATCTTGATAGGATGTGGTGAGAGCTTTCCAGTGAATGTGGCATGATGACACACACGGGAAACACACGGGAAAGACGCCCGTGATTCTGCCTCTCTGTCCCGTACCAGAGGCTGCCGGCTGTCAGACACAGGCAAGCATGCAGACAGGCCGCGAATAGCACGCCATCCCTCGGATGGGCCTGACGCTCCTGTGACCACGAACGTTTCGGTTCTGACACCGACTTCGCTGTAATGCTTACCCTACATGAGGGCGTCGCGAGCACGATCTCGCTGAGGGGTCGAAAAGCCTGTACGCCGGGCGTGGCCCGACCTGCGGGGCCCACTCAATGTAGAGTCGGGGTCTGAACAAGAATCTGTAGGAAGAAAAGGAGGGAGGGCAGAAAGCAGGTGGAGCTTGCACTACCTGAGGATGTTGTGTGCTTCCATGCTCCGATTCTGGTTACTCGAGCACACCACCGCCACCCGCAGCGGCGATGACGGCATGGCACCGACCGCGCTACCCACTGCACTTGCTACGGAGATCCCACCTAGAAGCCGGCTTCCGCCCAAGGAAGATGGCGGTAACCGGAAATCAGAACGCGGAAATGAGGGCGACGTAATGCGTGTGGAGGTCGGCGCTGCTTTCCTGGGCCCGCACTGCAATCGGCACGGGAAAGCGACCGAGCGACCGGCCAACACCGCGTTAGTTTGAGGCGAGAGCAGCTAAAGCCGGTGCTCGAGGACCACCTATGCCGGCATCTGACGTCACAGCATCTGCGCCGGCAGAGTGATGTGCGCCGCGCCTGCGTCCAGACGTCTTAAATTGTCGTCGCCTTTGATGACACGCTGATCGCAGAGCTTGCACAATATGGGAACCGGCCAGGCGGAAGTCTGGTGAGACCTTGTCTCGGCTTCCTTTGGTCTAGGTGGGACGTCTCTCAATCCGGTTTCTGCCGGGGGCTACTCCGCTAATTTCGGAAACGCGTCTGTGCTCCAGCACTTTGTTTATGCCCCATCTCTATAACGAGTATCTCTTCCTCAGGTTCACAGAACTTCTAGAAGCACGTGATTTTCCTTGGCGAGCCCTTAAAGGGCTTTTAATATTTAAGTGATAATGAAATAGGGCTGGGTGTGGTGGCTCACACCTTTAATCCCAGAACTCGGTAAACAAGATTTATAGTCTGCCTGCCCTGTTGCTTTTCTTCTCTGTCTCGAAAAAAATGGTCAAAAAAAGAAGGGATGGTTTAGATGGGTGATTTGGAGAGTCTCAGAACTCTCTTGAGGTTTGAGCTAAAAGAAATAAGTCATACTCGGGTGGCCGTGGCGCACGCCTTTAATCCCAGCACTCCAGAGGCAGAGCTCTGTGAGTTCGAGGCCAGCCTGGTCTACAGATCGAGATCCAGGACAGGCACCAAAACTACACAGAGAAACCCTGTCTGGAACCCCCACTCCAAAAAAAAGAAAGAAAGGAAAGAAAGAAATCATTAGGGTCCATTTTCAGTATGAGACGCATTTCAAGCTCATCAAGGAATCACAGCTCAGCACAAGGCACCAATCTCCTATCTCCCTAGCTGGTAGTCTTCAGTTTACCCTGAGATTGAAAAGTTGTTATGGGAAGAGAAATCTGGATCACCAGGATAGATAAGGCTTTGTGTCCTCAACTAACAAGATGAGGCGGCAACATTGAACACCAGGAAGATTGTAACTCCTTAAAGAACTCAGTCAAAAGGAACTAAAGGGGGTGAAGAAATAAAATTAGGGATATATGTATGTATATATATATATATATATATATTTTTAAAGCACTATTTTGTGCCAAATATGTAAGCTAGTCAATTTTCTTTTGCTCTAGGTTGAACCTTGACTTTGCCTGGTTGTGAAATATACTGTTATCACTTTTGCTCTTCAGAGTCTCCAGAACTCTTTTTTTTTTTTTGGTTTTTCGAGACAGGGTTTCTCTGTGTAGCTTTGCGCCTTTCCTGGAACTCACTTGGTAGCCCAGGCTGGCCTAGAACTCACAGAGATCCGCCTAGCTCTGCCTCCCGAGTGCTGGGATTAAAGACATGCGCCACCACCGCCCGGCTCAGAACTCTTATTGTGAAGTGAGTGTCGTTGCTTCTCACAGGAGTCTGCAGGGATGCAGCTTGGAGAAGGCTGTGAATTGCTGTGCTTTCAGAATGGGACAAAAGAGAGGCTAGGAATGGCAAATGCCCACCACAGAATCAGAACAGTGAAGGCTGGCAGCCACTGGGGGGAAAATGGTGTGTGAAATATGAACAAAAAACGTAACTCTTGCTCCAGAGGAACTAAGAATTTATTCTAAGCCAGATATGAATGATCACAGCGTGAGCACATGGATTCAGGTTGCCCTAACAGGCATATTCCACCATGGGAGAAGTTTTATGAGCTTATATGAAGAAAAAAAGCAAGCCTATGGTGATATTGTGTTCCCCAAAATAATTGTACATCCTAATAAACTTAACCTGGGGTCAGAGAACAGAACAGCCACTAGATACAGAGGCCAGAAAATGATGGCACACACACCTTTAATCCTAACATTCTGAAGGCAGAGATCCATTCAGATCTCTGTGAGTTCAAAGCCACACTGGAAACAGCCAGGCGTGGTGACTCACACCTTTAATCTCAGGAAGTGATGGCAGGAAGCAGAAAGGTATATAAGGTGTGAGGACCAGGAACTAGAGCTGGTTAAGCTTTTAGGCTTTTAGCAACAGTTCAGGTAAGATTCATTCTGGATGAGGACTCAGAAGCTAACAGTCTGAGGAAACAGGATCAGTTGAGGAATTGGCCAGGTGAGGTGGCTGTGGCTTGTTCTGCTTCTCTGATCTTCCGGCATTCACCCCAATACCTGGCTCCAGGTTTGTTTTTTATTGATAAGAACTTCTAACAATTCGTGCTACACAAGCCATAAACTGGTGCATTTATCCGTACATTAGTAGAAACATCAGCTAGGCAGGTTACATCAAAGCAGGAACATCTATAGGTTTCAGGTATTAATCTTATGTTTGTAGCTTTGGAATTAGTGGAAGTTATTTTTCTGCTAGGTTTGTAATATACCAGAGGTTTTACTTAATGATTGAAGGAGTTAGGTCAGGTCAGAGGTTAGTAACTAATGGCTATTAAAGGAGCCAAACGCAGGTGTGGTGCTTATGCCTGTAATCCCACCCCTTGGGACACTACAGCAATAGGATTATGAGTTTGTGCTACATAGTGAGTTCACATCCCGCACAGGTTACTACTGAATAAAAGCTTGATTCAAAGGGGGAAGGGGCAAAGATAGTATAAGAAAATTTTTATCCTCAATCTTCAGTGTTCCATCTTTATAATCACAATGTTCTAATCAACCAATCAGTCTACAGGATCTTCAACTTAGATGTGACTTTTTTTTTTCAGGGAACTACACATCAATAAATTGTATTCATTAGAATGTACCACTTGTCTTCAGAATGAAATAGAATCAAGGACATGGATGTTGCCTGTGTCTGAATATCTGTGACAATAGATCTGTAGCCATGATGGGTGAAAAACAGACCCTTTGTTGGAGAGGAAATTAAGAAACTCAGAAGCCAGACGGGCAGTGGTGGCGCACGCCTTTAATACCAGCACTCGGGAGGCAGAGGCAGGTGAATCTCTGTGAGTTCGAGGCCAGCCTGGGCTACAGAGCAAAATCCAGGGAAGGTGCAAAGCTACACAGAGAAACCCTGTCTCAAAAAAACCAAAAAACCAAAAAAAAAAAAAAAACTCAGAAGCCTAGTTGTTGCGGGCACCATCCTCATTGGTAGTGAAGTCTGCCATCTGAGGAGAAAAGTTTGAGAATCTGTTGTGAGATAAGCCCATCAGAGACCATCACACAGACACTCTTAGAGCAAAAATAAAAGTCTTTATTGTTGCCCAGTGGCTGCACAGAGAACTTTCCCAAATCATGTAGCCTTGAGCCTTACAGTTGTCTTTCATGTACAAAAAGCATATCTTGGTTGGCACATCTCAGTTAACAAGAAGCAGAACTACAGAAGCCAAAAGCAAGGTTAGTACATTTAGGGACTTTTACTTGGGGCTTTCCCAGAACTATGGACTATGTCTTTGTTTCCATTTTGGCAGGTTTTGGGGACTATTGCTGGATTTTAAGGACAGAATGGTGTCTCTAACATGGCATCAGTCACTGCTAAAATCTGGGGGCCTGTTAAAAACCAGGGGCTAAAAATCCTTAAGGGTCCCTCTGACAGGGTCAAGGGAACAGTATAAAAAAACATGTGAGCTAGGTGATCGTGGATGCCTTTAATCCCAGCACTCGGGAGGCAGAGCCAGGCGGATCTCTGTGAGTTCAAGGCCAGCCTGGGCTACAGAGTGAGTTCCAGGACAGGCACAAAGCTGAAACCCTGTCTCAACCCCCACCCCCCCAAAAAAATCCTGTGGTTAGGAGCGGTAGTGCACACTTTTTTGTTTGGCTGGTTGATTTGTTGTTTTGTTTTTGGTATTTTTGAAACAGTCTGACTATATAGCTCTGCCCTGGAACTCCCTATGTAGATCAGGCTGGCCTCAAATTCAAGAGATCTACCTGTCTCTGCCTCCCAAGTGCTGGAATTAAAGGTGGGTGCCACAACACCTGGCTGGTAGAGAGAACCTGTCTAAAAAGGGGTTGTGGATTTAGCTCAGTGGTAGAGCGCCTGCCTAGCAAGCACAAGGCCCTGGGTTCGGTCTTCAGCTGGGGGGGGACTGAAAAAATAAATCTGTATGTGGAAAAAATAAATCTGTATGTGGGGCCAAGGAATAGTTACCAAAGTCCAAGGAATAGTTACCAAACTGAAAATGGCAAAGTGATACTGGGCAGTCATTTGAGACTAGAAGGATTAAGGTGCTCTGGATGCTTAGATGTTACTTATATAATAATGAAGATCCCTTTTCATTTGCAGTCCCAAGGAAAAACAGACCTATTTCTATAGTGAATATGAACCCCTCTATGGCTTTCTCCAGTGTGCTTATAACACATAGGCCTGGATTTCAAGGCATCGTCTTGACACCAACCTTTCCCGTCTCTACTCTGTCTTAAGAATTTAATGGCTGAGCAGCTACATCCTGCTCATCCCATGCCGTTTCCTCTAATGCATATGCTGCTCCCACCAGTTGTTTCTTTTGTAGACATCACGCCACCTGCCCTGCTTGCCCAGCTATATCTCAGTCACCTTAGTCATTAATTGAGCTAGAACTGATGTCCCTTCTTTCAGAAAGCTTTCCCCTCCTGCTTCCTTATTCCACTTTCCTTTGTCTGCTACCAACACTACACCACATTCAACTTGCCCATATGTCTCTGAATGTTCTTTCTGGAGCTATATGTCCTGCTTATAGATTCGGAACCCTAAAATAGTTCATATAGACATACATACATATATACATACATACATGAAACCTAGGGTCTTACACATGCTGAACAAGAGTTCTACCACCTAGCTGCATCACATCCCCTTTCTAGTATGCATAAACCTGCTGTCCCAATCTGGGTAGAGTGGTTGGTACATGCCTATAATCTCAGTATTTAGGTTGTGGGCACAAGAGAATTAGTTCACAGTCAATCTCAGTTACATAGAGCTTGAGGCCAGCCTAGGCTATATGAATCCCTATCCCTAAAACAAAGCAAAACAAAAGCTAGCAACTCTGTACAGACCTTCACCTGACCATGCTAGAGGAGAGGGACTGAAGTGGCCACACAGCCTGGTGCACAGAGTACTCACACCACCAAGATTGTGGAGCTGGACTTTGTCTCACTGATACCTGTTTCAAAGTATGATGTGGGAAACCTAAGCTGAAAAACTTTTTTTATGCATATGGGTGTTTTGCCTGCATGCATGTCTATGTATGTATGCATGGTGCCCCGGAGGCCTGACAAGGGCATCAGATCCCCTGGGACTATTGTTACAGATGATTGTGAGCCACCAGGTGGGTGCTAGAAATCCAACCCAGGTCTTCTGGAACAGCAACTAGTGCTCTTAAATGCTGAGCCAATTCTCCAACACCGAGGGCATTTTTTTTTTTTTTTTTTTTTTTGGTTTTTCGGGACAGGGTTTCTCTGTGTAGTTTTGGTGCCTCTCCTGGATCTTGCTCTGTAGACCATGCTGATCTCGAACTCACAGAGATCCGCCTGGCTCTGCCTCCCAAGTGCTGGGATTAAAGGTTTGTGCCACCACCTAGCTCCAGGTGGGCCTCAAACTCCCAAGAGCTGGTATTAAAATGCCACCATGACTGGCTAGGACAATTTTTTGATAGAATAATACAACTAACCTAATAATTCATAAATATAGTATTTAAGTAATAAAACTTGGTATCTTTCTAGATATATGAATTGTAGCTGAAGTTTTCCTGGTCCTACCTGGCTCCTGAGGTTCCACAGTCCTGCAGCCACAGCTGCTCAGACCCAAATGAACACACAGATGCTTAATATTAACTAAAACTGCTTGGCCATTAGCTCAGGCTAACTACTGACTATCTCTTATATTTATATTTATATTTAAACTTAGCCCATTCTGTTAATCTATATGTTGCCACATTTTCCGTGGCTATACCTGTGTGCCATTTCATGCTGCTCCATGGATGGCGGGCTGGTGTCTCCTCCTCAGTTCTGTTTTTCCTTCCCAGAATTCTCCTTGTCTGCTTATTCTGCCTATACTTCCTGCCTGGCTACTGGCCAATCAGTGTTTTATTTATCAACCAATCAGAGCAACACATTCACAGCATACAGAACATCCCACAACACCTCCCCTTTTAGGTCTAATCAAAAAGGAAGGGTTTAACTTTAACATAGTAAAATTACATATAACAAACAGTTATCAAGCAAGAATTACAGTTACAATATTTAGTCTATTTGTATTTTGTATAAATAAAAAATATTCTATCCTATATTTGAGTCTAAAGTTTCATATCTAATTTATCTTTTATCATAACTAAGCAAAATTATAACTATCCAGTCTTCAGCTACATCAAAGACCTCAGAAGGATACAATATTACCTAAGTAAACAGGAAGTACATTATAAGCAACTTCCAAAAATCTAGAATGACAGAGACAGCTGGCAGCCTGGACAGTCACCTAATGTTCTTTTGTAAAGTTGGGGCATCTGTCTTCAGCCAACAGGCCTAAAGTCTCTCAGTTTCTTCTCTCTGTGTCCTATAGAATGTCTGGCAGTTTCTTCTGCAAAGCAGGAGCCTAAAGGACCATTTTGCCTTGCAAATTTCAGTGATAACCTTCCTATGGGTCCTGCATGTCCAGTCAATGCAACATTTTGTCAAGCAGTCCAGGCAAGAACAGTTTCTTGCCCAAATGCTATTTTTGCCAAGAAGATAAATTCTATATGGAGTGTCTTTCTCTTTGAAGTAAATCAGTGCTGCCAGGGGCAGATGTGTCTCACTGTCCAGAAAGTCTAAGTTTTTAAAATATTTTAAATGTCATATTCTGTAGGTCTTTGAAGTGTTTGAAGATTACCTATCTATCTGAAATATATCTATGTATACCTAGAAAACTAAAATAACATGACTATAAGCTTGATTATCATAGATGACTAATTATTAATCTGTATTTCTTAATTATAAGTTACAATTTCAAATAAGCTGCACAAACATAGTACCCTAAACAGGAGTAGAAATATAAATACAATATAACAAAATTAATTTTAAATTTGTATCAAGAAACTAAAATCCATGTAAAACATTTTAAACAATGTGTTGCTCTTTAAAAGTAGATTTAATAATCTACCCTTTTGTCCTATCATATCTATATCCTATATTTCTATACCCGTGAAATCAACAAAAAACACTTACAATCTCGAAATTTTCTTCATACCACTTTGTAATCTTTCCTGCCTTCCCTTCTCCAGCCCTCAGTCATCTTCCTGGACAACCCACTACTCCCCAGACAACAGTAACAGTACTTCCTGTTACTATAATCTGCATAGTTTAGAATTACAAGGTCTTGTGTAGTCCAGGCTAGCATCAAAATAGATATATACCTGATAATTAATTACCTTCAATTCCTGAGTGCCAATCCTTTTTTTTTCTTTTTTTTTTTTTTTTTTTTTTTGAGACAGGGTTTCTCTGTGTAGCCCTGGACGTCTTGGAACTTGCTCTGTAGACCTCAAACTCAAGTGATCCAACTGCCTCTGCTTCCCAAGTGTTGAGATTAAAGGCATGTGCCACCATGCCCAGCTTCCTTATTGCCATGTTGCTTTCCATTGTTTGGACATACCATGTTTTTGTTCAGTCACCTACGTATGGGTATTTGGGCTGTTTCTAGTTCCAGACTATTACAGATACCTCATATGTGTGTGAACAATTTGTAAAAATACTTTCATTTTTCCCTGAGTTAGTACCTACAGGTGGAATAGAGAAGGGGTTTTTCTTTTTCCTTCTTGACTTTTGAATTTTTATGGCAGGGTCTCACTGTGCAGCCCAAGCTAGCTTCAAATTTGTAATTCTCCTGCCTCAGCCTCATGCCTCTAGAATTACAGGCATGTGCCATCATGCCCAGCCAGTGTGTGTGTGTGGGGGGGGGGGGCGCTCGAGTGCAAATTCTTCACATTTGAGTTGAGAAAACATCAAGGGACCAGGCATTGTGGCACACAATGTCCCAGCATTCTGGAGGCGGAAGCAGGGGAAATCTCTGCCAGTTCTAGATAAGTCTAGTCTATATAGCAAGTTCCAGCACAGCTATGACTTCACAGTGAGACCTTGTCTCAAAAAAATAAAAAAAAGAGAAGGAAGGAAAACTGCTGAGGGATGGGGGCATAGCTTCAGTGGTAGGAGTACTTGACCAACATGTACAAGGACCTGAGTTCAATCCTTAGCATTACTTAGTAAGACTCTGTCTTACTCTACAATCCCAGCTGGTCAAAGCAATCTTCTTGCTTCAGCCAGCTAAGTAATGAAATTATGTGTATATACCACCATGTTTGGCAATAGGCAGAAATTTAAAATAATGTTTTTTTTACATTCCTTTATTTTGTGTGTGTGCACATGGACCATGTAATATAGAGGTCTGACAACAACCTCCAGAAGTTGGTGCACTCCCCACACTGTGTGAGTCCTTGGAATCAAATCCAGGTCATCAGGCTTGACAGGTCCTTTGCCTAGTGAGACATCACACCAACTTGTGTTTTGATTTTTGAGATAGTCTCAAGCCTCAAAGTTTGGGCTTGGATTTCTAATCCTTCTGCCTCCATCTTCTAGCTGCTGGAATTATGGGTTTGAACCACCATACCTAGCTTAAAATTTTTAAAATTTATCAATTTGTATTTTTTATGGTACACATTATGGTGTCGAATAGAAAAAAAGATGCTGGACATGCTTTTTGTTGTTGTTTTGTTTTGTTTTCAGTTTTTTTGTTGTCGTTTTTTTGTTTTTGGACACAGAGTTTCTCTGTATAGTTTTGGTGCATTTCCTGGCTCTCACTCTGTAGACCAGGCTGGCCTCAAACTCATGGAGATCTGCCTGGCTCTGCCTCCGGAGTACCGAGATTGAAGGTGTGCGCCACCGTCCAGCTTGTTTTGTTTTGAGACTGGGTTTCTCTGTCCTAGAACTTGCTTTGTAGACCAAGCTAGCCTCAAACTCACAGAAATCCCCTGCCCCTGCCTCTCAAGTGCAGGAATTAAAGGCTTGTGCCACCACCGCCTGGCGTTGGCTGGGATTAATGGTAAATGTACATTGTAGAAGAGATCAGAGAAGCTGAAGGTATAACTAGAAACTTCACAATACGGATGGGATGAAGCTCAGTTGGTGGAATGCTTGCCTAGCACACACAAAACATCAGATCTGATACCCAACACTGTAGAGAGTCTGTGGCAATCACTTCACCACCTGAGAGGTCAAGGAGGGAGGATCAAAGTTCAAGCTCATTCTACAAGAGACTGTCTCAAAAAATAAAAAGGGAGGGTCAGGGAGGGAAGGAGAGAAAGAGGGAAGAGGAGGAAGACTGAAAAGGAAGGCAGGAGTGGTGGGACATACCTGTCATACCAGCTCTCAGGAGGCTGAGTCTCATACCTTTAATCTCAGCAGTCAGAAGGGAGGCACAGGCAGCAAATGTCTGGGAGTTCAAGGCCAGCCTAGTCTACATAGCAAGCTTCAGGGCAGTCAGGGCTACACACTGAAACCCTATCTTAAAAGCAGAATTTTCCTCAGTCACACTAACCACATTTCAGTGCTCAAGACCCACAGTGACTAATAGGGTTCACATGTCCTAAGCCCTGGTAACAGTGAACTCTTTTGGTAACTCCCGTGTAACTCAGCACATGGACGTTCTAGAGGAAGGCGGTCACCCCCCTGAAACACTGGTACTCCCTTTATGGAGGTTCAGTTCATTCAAAGAAAATGGTTATGGATCATTCTGGTAGGCTAAGGTAGTCATATGCTGTGACTAGGTTTTTGAAGGTAGGCAGAGCAGAGGGTTTTGTTTTGGGTAGAAGTGTAAAATGTCGCTGGAGGATCATACTGGACATTTCAAGAAGTGCCACACATTGGAACAGGGTTGGGATGAGACAGCTCTGTCTGGGGCATAGTTGTGGGGAACCTACTAATTAAATGGAATTCATTTCTTTCCATATGGCTGGTAAGTTGGAGTTTTTTGTTGTTGTTGTTGGTGGTGGTGGTGATGGTGTGTGTGTGTGTGTGTGTGTGTGTGTGTGTGTGTGTGTGTGTGTGTGTGTTTCTTGGCCTTTAACTCAACATATAGCTGAGAATTACTTTGAACTCCCCCCGCCCCAGACTGGGTTTCTCTGTGTAACAGCCCTGGCTGTCCTGGAACTCATTTTGGAGACCAGACTGGTCACAAACTCAGAGATCCGCATGCCTCTGCCTCCTGAGTTCTGGGATCAAAGGCGTGTGCTGCCGTTGCCCATGTGACTTATCCTCCATTCTCCATGTCCTGAGTGCTGAGGTTACAGATAGCTCCCACAACTCCGAATTTATACGGTGCTGGAGATTGAACCCAGCACCTTTTAAATACTAGGAAAGCATTCTAACAACTGAGCTACAGCTGAATCCTGTTGAGGGCCTGAGGAGGTCTCACATAACTTTAGCATCAGAAGAGGACACATGGTCCTAGCTCTGGAATCAGACTGTCCCTAGGGAGCTAGAAGTTGGACACTAAGGTACCTCAGATAGGGCACTTCCGGAGTGCCAACTCCTGCCCATGTTGGCTGAAAACACCAGAATACACATCACATACAGCCTAGGTCCCGCAAGAACAGCAGTGGGAGGCAGCTGGACTACAAAGCCCTCCCATTTCTGCCCTGGCTGTCTAGACAACCTGCTATGTCCTCCACCCCTCAGAGGAGTCTAGGCACATCACTACACCCCCAACCTTTCTCCCACCCACTCTAGACGAGTCATTCATCAGAGCTAGCTCATCCCTGCCTTGTGCTTTTGCTTTCTTCAGGGTCACAGTAGCAAAAGAGTCCCAAGGACATTCCAGGTGGGGAGAGTGAGGGGCTCACACAGGTTCATTTTCTGCCAAATTCTATTCCCAACTCTAACACTGCAGAGGGACGCCCCATGCTGGAGAGGGTACCCCCTCCTAAAGCTGCCTAACTGTTGCTTGTCACAGTTCAAATGGGTCATCATTGTATGCTGAAGCTGTTTCTAGCCACTGCCAGTACCACCTCCCCACCCCTGCCCAACACAGCTGGCCTGACTAAGGGTGGACAAGCAAGCTACTGGACACCCTGCCTCTTCTTCTGCCAGAACTGTAAAGTCAGCATGCCAGTGAACACTGCCTGGAGCTGATCCCCATCCCATCCCCATTGGGAAACGGTTCAAGGCCAGCCACTGGACTAATGCTTGAGGCCCTTGGAGAAATTAAATCCACCTTCCCTTCCCTCACCCATAACCTTCCCTCCAACATCCCAAATAAACACACAAGACAGTGTTTTTGGTCTGAGTGATGGACATTTAGATGTTGGCAACTGACCAGTGCCTCAGAGGGAGCGGGCAGAGCAAAGACAGAGAGGTTGGGCATAAGTGCTGCCAGCCAGGGCTCAGGTCATCTTGGTTGCTGGGGTGAGGGTGGAAAGGAAAAGAGCCAGGGTCAAGTCCAGTGGTCAGAGCCCAGGCTCAGAGATGGGCAATGCCTTATTCTTCCCTGTGCCCAATATCACCAGATGTCTGGGTGACCTCAGCCAGGTGCCTGTGTCTGCCAGGAGGTAGGCAAAGCCAACCTCTGCCCATGCAGATGGAGGGGCAACATCCCTGGGGTCAGATCTCAGGCTCTCCATCCTCTAGTGTAAGAAGGACAGGGGGTAGTGAAGTAGCTCTGTGACCACTGTGGTCTCAAGTTGGTTGAAGCTTGGGATCTGGCTGGACAGGGCTGGCAGCTTTCCTTCAGCCCTCATGATCCCTTCAGCTGTCCTCCCACTCCCCAACCCCTACAGACACACACACACACACACACACACACACACACACACACACACACACACACACACACACACACACTGGGAAAGTCCTAATCAAGGCAGTACAGCGAAAGGAAAGGGTGAATCCCCAGCCTCCTAAGGTGGAGGACACTCACCCCTGGATGCAGCAGCTGGACGTTGGGCCCAGCCTGCTGAGCTACATCATGGCTCTTGGCTTCTTGGACACCCACATAGGAAGACACAACAGGGCCTGTGAACACCTGCCCCAAGCTCCTGAAAATCTTGAGGATAGTGTGTCCTCAATGGGACTCTGGCCAGAAGCATGCATAAGCCAGCCAGTCACAGGGCCACAAATCCCCATGGACAGCTGAGGGATGATGAGTGGCTCCTGCAGTGGGCCAGAGAAACTAAGGCACAAAGCTAACCTAAGCCCACTGGGTAAGGTGGGGGTGGGTACAGGATCCAGAGGTCACTCCTCCCCATCTGCAAAGCACAAAGTGACCAAGCAATGATCATGGCCAAGCTCTGACAACCTGGCACAGGATGAAAGTTCAGGTTGATGATCCTGGGTGCCAGTGGCTCTTGACAGAGGGACTGTATATTCTGGCCGGCCCTAAAAGGCCTCTAGAAATGGAGAAGACCCCTGGATGTGGCTGACACGCTAGCCTGGCGCCTATGGCCAGTCTGAGGCCTGAGTCTGGAAGGCAGACACCCAGCTGGGCCTGGCAAGGTCGTGGGATGATGACAAGGTCCCTGCATGGGCTAGTCTCCATTAGACCCTCCATGGGCATCGTAAAGAGGGAGAAGGAACGAGAGGGAAGCAGGGAAAGGGCCTACGGTCTCAGCACATTTGGGCAGGTGGAACCCAGGTGGGCAGGTCGCCTTGCGCTTCAGGATTGCCTGCGCAGACTGGGTCGCCGGAAAGTCGGGTGCATGAGGTTCTCGGTGATGTAGGCCACCAGCAGGCAGATGACCACCAGCATGACACAGATGGAGCCGCCCACAGCAGTCATGGCCACCACGATCTCCTGCATAGCTGCCGGTTCGGCGGTGAACTCCACGCACTCAGCGAGCTCTGGCTGGGCGGCGGCGAGCTCGGCGCGCAGCGGCAGTGGCTGCAGGCACAAGCGGTAACGCACGCTATCGTGCACATCCGGCAGCAGGTAGTCGCGGCAGGAGGCGCCCAACAGCACGCGATCGCACGGGAAGCGTGTGTAGGTGCCACGCCACGAGCAATTCAGCGCGAAGACTCGCACGCGGCGCGCCTCAGCCGGAGCCAGGCGCCACTGCAGCAGCACGCTGCGGTTGCGCAGGACGTGGGCGCGCAGCGAACCACCCGCCGAGACCAGCGTCACGCAGCCCGGCGCCTGGCAGCGGAAACCCCGAGCGGGGCTGCGAAAGCATAGGCGCCCACTGCCCTCGGGGCCCTCGGACAGCACCTTGTAGGGGCACCAGGGCGCGTCGGAGGCCGGTTCCCAGCCCGGCGGCGTCGGGACCACAGAGGCACCTGAGGGCGGCGCGCAGGCGGCCAGCAGCAGCAGCAGCGGCGGAGCGCGCATCCTGTGGCTGGCCCAGCGCAACCGGGCGCGGGCTCCCGAGCGCACCGGGCGCGGCGGAGGGTCACGCGGGCCGCGCCGCCCCAGCCGCTGCCGCGCTCGCCCCGCGCAGGCCCCCAGCCGCCACCCGCAACAACCCTCCCCACGCCCAAGCCCAGTGCGCCCTCGGACCCAGCGGCAGAGGCGGGGCTGTCCCACGTCCCGCCCCCTTAACCCTCTCTGGGCCGCATCCCACGACGCGAGAGTAGCTCTACAGAGCAGGCGATGCGCAAAGGCCCTGGGACAGGCCCTTGCCACAATTGATGAGGACCCCAGACTGACGGTCCCTCTATCCGATGCTGACCCCTTGTGGCCAGCAAGAGGGTCCTGCCAGCTCTGACCAAGAGGATAGGCACAAGGACTGAAATCTAACTTTACCCTGAGCTCCTCCATCTTAGGAACTGATGGCATCTACAAGGGAGGGAAGTCTGAGACAAGGCTTTGGCTTGGTGAAAATTGATTAACTGCACACCTGAAGAGAAGCTGCAGCTCGGACGCACCTTCTCCGTCCCATCGGTTTTCCTTCCCTTCTTTGGCTCATAAGGAGGGTCAAGACCGGACAAAGAAAATGCCCCCACAAAAAGCCCACCCTGAGTCAGGTGGTGCAGGCCTGTAGAATTCAAGCTGCTTAAGAGAAAGCCTACGTGGGCTACCAAATGAGTTCAAGGCCAACCTGAGTAATTTAGTGAGAACCTCAAAATGAAAACAAGATACAAAAGTAAAACAAGCACCCCAGAGAGGTTATGGTGGCCTGAATCTGCAACCCCAGTTCTTGGGAGGATCGATCAGGAGGATCAAGGACACCCTTGACTACTTAGGGAACTTGAGACCAGTCTCAAAAACACCAAACAGAAGCAGCTCATCTTGTGCGGTGACTGTGCTGCTCCCCAGAGGGAGGGAAGAAAGGCCACACTCCAGGACCACTGTGGTCTTACCCTTGCACATGTCACTCAACACTCACAGCTTTCAGGGCCAGAGAACCCTGGCTAGTCCTGCCTGCCCTAACTAGGGGTGAAGTCAGAACCCCCTAGTGCTGAAAGCTCTGCTATTGAGGAGCAACTGTGTACTGAACAGGGAGCTGAGGAGGCTCAGCCAACTGTCCTATAGATTCTGACCCCCTCATGACACTTTCAAGGTGACCTTAGCTGGGAAAGGAAAAAGAGGACCTAGGTGGGCTGCAGTGTTCACTGGGTCCTACCTCTTGTGCCTGTAGATGATGGTATGTTCCCACACAACCACAAAGCCCTTTCCTAGCCTATGTTCTAGTTATCCAGAAAAACCCGAAGAGCACCAGGCTTTTTTTTTTTTTCCTTCGAGACAGGGTTTCTCTGTGTAGCTTTGGAGCCTGTCCTGGAACTCGCTCTGTAGACCAGGCTGGCCTTGAACTCACAGAGATCTGCCTGGCTCTGCCTCCCGAGTGCTGGGATTAAAGGTGTTCACCCCTGCCTCCCAGCTTGGTTTTGTACCAGTCTTATGGGCAGTTGCTGAGCCTCAGCTCAATATCAGAAACCTCCCACCCAGCCACAGTGCACCTCATCACTAACTTGGAGGGACCCAATCACACCAGGCCTCTCTGATTTGTAGAAATCTTGAATAGGGTCTGCTGAGATCTCTGCTCCCAATGGAGAACAGAGGTTTTGAGATATATATCCCCCCACCACCCATTTCTACCTTCCCCTTAGGCTGGGCAAACTCCAGACTTTTGCCTCATCATTGTAAGAGTGCCCAGGAATTTCTCAGGGAAGTAGAAAATAACGATTACCCCAGGGACCTGCATGTCTCATCCAGAACTACCCAGACCCTTCATTCAGTTGACTTTAGGTATCAGTTGGAAACATGGGCACCTCTTTACCTAGGTGTAGGGTACAGACAATGGGTAGAGCAACACAACGTGGTGTCTTTGGACTGAAGAGAGCTGGGTGTTCAGTCTCAGTCCACACCAGGAAGTAGAGTCAGATGGATGCAGGAAGAGCTGTGTGGTGGTTTGAATAGGAATGCCCCCTCCACCACCACCCCTCATAGGCTCATAGATTTGAATGCATGGTCACCAGGAAATGGCACTATCAGGAGGTGTGGCCTTATTGGAGGAGGTGAGTCACTGGGGTTGGATTTTGAGGTTTCAAAAGCCCAAGCCAGTCCCAGTGTCTCTCTCTTCCTGCTGCCTGTGGATTCACACATAGAACTCTCAGCTACATCTCCAGCACCATGTCTGCCTGTAGGCTGCCATGCTTCCCACCAAGCTGATTATGGACTAAATCTCTGAATCTGTAAGAAAGCCCTGATTAAATACTTTCTTTTATAAGAGTTGCTGTGGTCATGGTGTCTCTTCACAGCAATGGAACACTGACCAAGACAAGCTGTCCACCCTGATATACAGTCAGCCGAGTTGAAAAACACAATACCCAGAGCCCTGGCCTAGGTCTGACTTCATCACTGCCTCAAGCTTGTCCTAGGACAAGGGTCTTTCCAGTGGGCCAGGGGCTCACCAATACTGACCTTTTCCTGGTCAGGGCAGCACTTGATTCGCTTCCAATTGTGCAAGAGAAAACTGCTGTCTCTCCTCTGGGTTGGGGCTGGCCATGGGGATGAGGATTTTGTTACTCCTGTCTGGATAAGTCTACCTATGGTATCTTTCCAGCTAGGAACAAAGAGAGGACAAAGGCAGGGGCAAGGTGATTCCTATGCAATGTCTGCCACGCCGCAGCAGGATCAGAGAAAGCTGACAACAGGAGGCCCTACTTCCCATCCAATATTTCTAAGCCAATAGAGCAAAGAAAGGAGAGCTATGCTGTCTCTAGAGGCCAGAAGGGACACCCCACCACCAACTCATTCCACGTTGTCTAGAGGCCAGAAGGGACACACCACCACCACCTCATTCCACGTTGTCTAGAGGCCAGAAGGAACACACCACCACCACCTCATTCCATGTTGACCAACTCCTATTTCTGCAGCTTGCCCCCAGTTGAAGTAGGATATTCCCTGGTCCTGTGGCAGCACAGTCTTAGGGCTTGGCTCTGTTGAAGCATTGTATCCCCAACTACCCCACTGTAACCTGCAAGAATAGTAGGAGCTTGGGCCCTATCAGGAGTTATGTTCATACCTCTACACAAGATTTCCTTGTTACATCTTTCCAGGTCCCTGATCACAAGACTACCAATCAGCACAAACACCACTCTGCCAAGAGCACAGTGGGGAAGCAGGCTGGAACAGGTGGTTCCACCTTGGGCTACAGCCAACTTCCTAGGTAGTGCTGCTGGAAACTAGAGGTAAAGGAACCTGTCACAGGCAGGGTGCCCAGAAAGTACATCATGGGTTGGGTAGACAGATGGAGGAGGATTAGCACAATGTGTACAAGCTGAGGCCCAAACACAAGGTCCTTCAGGACACTGAAGCTGTTGTGGGGTATGGAGTCAAGGCTGACTACCCTAGCTCTAATTCCATTTCTAGTAGCAGTAATTCCATTTCCTTTGGGGGACCTTCTTTCTCAGTCCAGCTTGGGTGAGACTGACCTTTCCCTGCCCTGGGGTTGGCAGATGACTTGGGCTTGGCCTGCACATTCAAACTTACGATGAAGCTCATGGAAAGGAGTTGATTACCTCATTGTCAGCTTCTGTGGCTCTAAAGTTATCTCAAGGGAATAGTTGATCAAAAAGGAAACCAAACACAGCAAGTACAAGAAAGCCGGCCTCTGTGCTTCCTCTAAGTGTCTGGATCTAGCCTCAAATGAAGAAAGCCCATGTGCTACACAGTCATGAGAGATAGCAAAGTCAGTTTGTACAGTCCCTGAAACATGGGGATTCTGACCGAGGGTTTCCATGGTGTTCTCAGTTGCAGACCCTACAGAAGAAGCTGGTTCATCCTAGCTCACATTGGGCCTCTAATTATGATCTGTGGATGCAGACTTAGCACCAGTACTAGATTCTGGGCAAGAGGCAATGGGTGAGGGACAAGGAGCTAATAAAGAAGGACAAGGCCATATCTACTGGCTGCCATTGGAGCAGAGGAAGCTACTTCATTGTTCCCAGGTATCCTATTATCAATGAAGATTTGATACTGGAGGAGAGTGTGTCTTGGGAAGGAAGAGAGCTCTCTTTAGCTCCTACAGCCTGTTGATCCTTTCACACGAATGGAGCAGTTTCTCCAGTCCCACCCAGCCCCTCCGTCCTGTAGAACTTATAAAATAAACACATGTTTGGTGGCTTTGCTTGTGTCCCATTACATGCTGCTCCTTGGATGGCAGTTCGGCGTCTCCCCAGCTCTCCTTTCTCCTCTCATTATCTCTCTTGGATTTTCCCGTCTGGCTCCATCCTGTCCTGTCATAGGCCAGTGCAGCTCTATTTACTAACCAATGGGAACAGTATATATTCACAGCATATAGAAAGACATCCCACAGCACTTCCCTTTTTCTGTCTAATAAGAAAGGAAGAGCCGGGCGGTGGTGGCGCACGCCTTTAATCCCAGCACTCGGGAGGCAGAGCCAGGTGGATCTCTGTGAGTTCGAGGCCAGCCTGGGCTACCAAGTGAGTTTCAGGAAAAGGCGCAAAGCTACACAGAGAAACCCTGTCTTGAAAAACCAAAAAAAAAAAAAAAAAAAAAAAGGAAGGTTTTAACTTTAACATAGTAAAATTATATATAACAAAGCAGTTATCAAGTAAGAATTACAGTTACAATATCTAGTCTATTTGTATTTGGCAAAATTAGAAAATATTCTACCATCAATCCTATTTTTATGAGTCTAAAGTTTTATATCTAATTTATCTTTTATCATGACTAAGGAAAACTATAATTATAACTATCTAGTCTTCAGCTCCATTAAAGACCCCAGAAGGATATATAACCTGGGCAGGACACAGGAAAACATCTGAATACACAAGAATATTACTTATGATGAACACTGCACACATGCCAGCATACAGATACTTTCGTTAAAAGTTCTCGGGCTAGAGAGATGGCTCAGCAGTTAAGAGCACTTACTGTTCTTCCAGAGGACCCGGGTTCAATTGCCAGTACCCACATGGCAGCTCACAATTGTAACTCCCAGGATCCAATACTCTC